GGAAAGCGCGTGTCGCTAACCTACATGCTAAGCACGTGGGACAAGACACTGGCCAAACCATGTTGTACTAAAAGGGCGTGACAGCTCAGCACAGAGCTGCTCACTATGTAGATCCTGCTATCACAGGACTATCAGGCAGCAGTTGTCTTATTCTGGGACGTGACAGTCCCATGTGTTCTATGTGCGCTGGAGTACTGCCAATTATGTACCAGGTCACTGCCCAAAAGGCATGGCTTGGTGCATATTTGGCAGTGCACCAGCGTACGTAGTACGCCTGGGGTCATTCCTAATGGGCATGGGTACGCCGTACCCGGGCATTATCGTCTGATAATGCCCTGGTACGGTGCTGCTCTGATTGGCCGAATGCTAGCAACGACCTGACAACAGGCACGTGACATGTATGAAATATTATTAATATAAGGTCTCGTTACGTAATCAAGTGGTGCGCTTCACTGACTAAAGGGTCCCTTTACTCAGCACGTCTACACCGATTGACTTGCTAATTCGACTAGATTGTCAGTCAGCCTATGTTTAGCCTAATTGATTAATTGGCTAAACATCCAAGTTTCAAATAAACAGATTCCATGCCATTTCGGCACCCTCAAGTTCAGCGCAAACCAGGTCAGCACGACAGTTCTCAGGGCCGTGAACCTCTAAGCGCCGAATTGTACAGCGCCGCATACTTTAGCGCCGAATATCTCATCTCCACATAAATCACCGCCAAATATGTCAGCACGACCTTTCTCAGCGCGACCTTTCTCAGCGCGACCTTTCTCAGCGCGACCTTTCTCAGCGCGACCTTTCTCAGCACGACAGATCTAAGCGCCGTGTTTCTCAGTGCCAATTTACTATAATGTATGTATGAACATCGCCTGTTGTGACTATGACTGTCCAAGTATTGACTTTGCGCTGTACTGTATCACGCTGTACCTGACTGCGCTGTACTTGATTGCGCTGAATTTCTTTGCGCCGTAAATTACCACGCCTTACTTTTTCTTTTTCGTGCTGATTGCTGACGCTGTAGTTTACCGCGCTGATAGTCCTGGTGCTGAAGAAGCTGGCGCTGTGAAATCAGGCGCTGAAGACAGTGAAGTGCTGGCACTGAAATGTATCGCGCTGAAACGGTGGCGCTGAAGTGGCAAACACAATGGATATTTTTTCCCAGGTGTTCCGCAAAATTTCAACTCAAAATTCCGAAAACAAAACAAAACCACTTACAACTAGACTTGTGGCTCTTCATGCGAAGGTCTCTCCTCTTGTACACAATGAGTGCAACAACAGCGCCGATGAGAACAAGCAGGCTAGTAGATACAGCTGTGGCAATGGTAGCGGCATTCGACGCTCTGTGCTTCGGTGGCGACTCTCCCATCGCGTGCCCTGGGCAAGCACCAACAAATGGTCATGTACACAAGTATGCCAGGTTACTGAAGTACTAACTTTGACAGGCCTCATTCCCTACGACATGTCTGCATCTGCTTTGTTTCGATGTCCAGCATAAGCGAACGTGTGGACCAAGCATAACTGCTTGGTTGATGCTGGTGCGGGAATGCGACACCGGTAATAATAGTGATAATAACACAAGCGTCAAGAATCTTGTACTGTCAATGTTGCGTACGTTGATCACATTATGCAATATGATCCACATATTTTGTTGGGTTCAATCCGGAAAGGCACCAAAGTCAAAAGGCGCCAGACCTGCACGTCAGAGCAGTAAATAACAGCTACAAGAAACATGCCAGGTATAGACAACAACATGATCCTGTGCTCAACAGTTGCTGTCCGGAGATACAGTACAAGCACTCCCTTTTTAAGGGGGTGAAAAATAGACGTCCCCCACGTATCATTAAAATAATAGACCCATTGCGCAATGACGTAATTGTCGCAGTAATGTAGTTAGTGTGTGTTAGCATCCACCGATCACACTGCCATGTTTGCATCTGCTGCGCACCGCTGCATCAGTGCATTGCGCACTGCACTCACACTGCCAGCGCATAGATTTGGGCACGCTTAGCCTGACGTCACACAACTGCTTCCTTTGAACTTTTGCTCACTGCACTCACACTGCCAGCGCATGGATTCGGGCGCGCTTAGCCTGACGTCGTACAACTGCTTCCTTTGAACTTACTTTCTCTTTCTTTCTTGCTGTTGGCTTCACTTCAAAGACTAGTCTAATGAGTGGTGACTTTTAGCTTGTGCCAGCATCAAATTTTCAGCTTGTGCCTGACAGCCAGCATCAAATTTTCAAGCATCAAATTTTCCAGCTCTCTCAGTTTGGCTTCTAGCTTGTGGTAGCTTTGAGTAACTAATTAGCCAGACGCTTCGATTGTGTTCAGCTCGTACTATTGGTGCCTGAAACAATGTCGTCTATTGTGCATCGGATGCGGGTGTTGTTGTAGAAGTTTATTTAACGTCGCACCACAAACAGGCGATTTCGCCTCCTTTGATACATGTGGACGACAGAAGGAATGAGAGAGAGGGGGGGGGGGGGGACAGAAGTATGGAGAGAGGAAGGGTAGAAATAAATAAGCAATCAACCTCAGGGCTACACCAAAGCAAAAACGGAATGGGAACATACTATATACAAAATCGCTTCATACATATATTGCAAAACACGTTTACTATTCTTCAGTCCGCTATACCACAGAAACACACTAGCCGAAAAGCATTTAAACGGAGCCATGATGCGCTTTTAGCAGGGCACAGAACTGAAGGTGGCTGGGCTCGGAACGGAGATCAGGCGGGAGCTGGTTCCACAGGACTGCGCCGATGAACTGCATGGTCGCTCGACCCGCAGGACCGGGCCAAAATGGTACTCGAACGAGGTGATGTGCTGCTCCCCGAGTGCGGTCACCAGTAACTCTCACGAAGAAGCTGGTGAAGAGGGAGCTAGCTCGGGAGAACAGACAACGACGGACAAAGATGAGGAGCTTAATGTTAAACATGTCCTCCAGGGTGGTGAGGCGGAGCTGTTCAAAGATCGGGCTCGTGCGCGACCACGGTGGCAGACCGAAGAAGCCGCGGATAGCGCACTTCGTTAGACGTGTGAGGGGCTCCATGTTGCCAATTTGAAGTGACGGATAAAAGGCGTTGGAAGCGTACGACAACCTACCCTGGATCATCGACCTGTAAAACAGGATCTTTGACGCTAGGGTGAGGCTTCGGCGGCTCCGCCACAGCGCACCTACTGACTTCGCAGGCTTTAAAAAAAACTATTGGCTTTAGTCCTTTTGTTATTCTTCATGTGTATGGTATACACATCATTAGTGCAGGTCCCTTGTCCAGAATCACACGCTACCTAGAAGTTTTTAAAGAAAGGACCAAAATGTTGCATGTTATCCGTAGTTTGTGTCCAACACTAAACCGTTATGAGCAAAATGTTGTGTAGTCAGAACAGGCGCGTGCTCGGCGATGGGCACGGGGGCACGTGCACCCCCCCCCCCCTAAAAAATTTTCAATCTGATCCAAGGCAATTGTAATGTATGCAAATATGCTCTAAAATTCAAGAAAGGTTACAAACAAATTGCAGAAAATTGCCGGGGGGCTCCCCTCGGCTCCCATGCACCCCCCTAGTTGGGTTGGCCGAGCACGCCCCTGCAGAAGGTGCAACAGCTTGCACAATACTGACTGATGTGACACTGACATTAAACGACCTGATGATAAGCTCTATCACGCCTGGGGTGAGCAAACCAACAGCCTTCCAACTTGGAAGGGTCTAAGTTATGAAATAACACGAGAAAGGGGAAGGCGAGCGCACAGTTGGTTTGCTCACCCCAGGCGCGATAGAGCTTATCATCAGGTCGTTGAATGTCAGTGTCACATCAGTCCGTATTGTGCAAGCTGTCACACCTTCTGACTACACAACATCTTACTTATAACTGTTAGTGTTGGACACAAAATACGGATAACATGTAACATTCTGGTCCTTTCTTTTAAAAATGTTTTACACAGGGCAGAACAACAGAGACCAAAAATTCTTCTCGTGACTCCGAGTTTCGTGTTTCAAAAAACACTCATCAGACGTTTTATGTGTTTATTTCTGGTTTCCCCCAAAGGCTGGGAGGTCTGTCGAGGGGGACTAATGTCAGCATATAGAACATGAATGACATATATAGAGGGGTGAGCGTGAAAAAGATAGGGATCACGCAGAGCAGAGTACTGTATAAAAGTGAGAAACTTCCACCAGAGATTGTGGTTTAGACCAACATGCAGCGAATACTCTGCAAATTGAATGGATGAATGGAGGGATGGAGGTGCAGACGGAAGAAGGGACGAATGGATATATGGATGGATTGATGGACGTACGGATGGACGGACGGAATGATGGAAGGCTGGAAGGATGGATGGACGGATGGATGGATGGATGGATGAATGGATGGATGGATGGAAGGACAGAAGAATGGACAGACAGACGGAGGGATGGACCGATGGCTAATGGATACATGGATGGATGGCTGGGTGGATGATTGGATGGATGGATGGGTGGTTGGTTGGCTGGATGGATGGGTGGACGGACGGACAGACGGATGGACGGACGAACAGACGGACAGGCGGAGGGATGGATGGACGGTAAGGTGGAGAGAGAGAGAGAGAGCGAGCGAGCGAGCGAGAGAGAGAGAGAGAGAGAGAGAGAGAGAGAGAGAGAGAGAGAGAGAGAGAGAGAGAGAGAGAGAGAGAGAGAGAGAGAGAGAGAGTGACAGAGACAGAGAGAGACAGAGAGAGACAGAGACAGAGACAGAGAGAGAGAGACAGAGAGAGACAGAGAAAGAGAGAGACAGAGAGAGGGAGAGAGAGAGGGAGGGAGGGAGAGAGAGAGAGAGAGAGAGAGAGAGAGAGAGAGAGAGAGAGAGAGAGAGAGAGAGAGAGAGAGAGAGAGAGAGAGAGAGATAGAGACAGACAGACAGACAGACAGACAGACAGACAGACAGACAGACAGACAGAGAGGGAGAGATGGAGAGACAGAGAGAGAGACAGAGACAGAGAGAGGCAAAGCTTACGTGTACAGTATATCCCGGAAAAGTGAGGGTTGCACCTGCAAACATAAGACGCCAGCATATTGACACACTGGCCATTGGTGGAGCAATTGTGGATGGCAAGAGAACATTCATCCACCTCTGTGGGTTCAGCAAGAGTAGACAAGCCAATACATTTACACATACGGCCAAGCCCTGAGTGAGGCGAAACACTAGCCATTACAACAAGAGAGAGAGAGAGAGAGAGAGAGAGAGAGAGAGAGAGAGAGAGAGAGAGAGAGAGAGAGAGAGAGAGAGAGAGAGAGAGAGAGAGAGAGAGAGAGAGAGAGAGAGAGAGAGAGAGAGAGAGAGAGAGAGAGGAGAGGGAGGGGGGAGGGAGAGGGAGGGGAGGGGAGGGGGAGAGGGAGAGGGAGAGGGAGAGGGAGAGAATGGGAAAGAAATATACAGACACACATATGCATGCACATGTATAGACAGCTGCCTGCTGATCATGACTACGTGAAACTCGGAGTAGCAACACAGCACCCCCCCCCCCCCCCCCCCACACACACACACTCTCTCTCTCTCTCTTATGTTGACAAACAAACGGTTACATTCCTACCATATCACAAAGAATGAAGAGCCTTGTGTGAGCAGTAACAGTACTGCAAAAATCTATTGGCTTTAGTCCTTTTGTTATTCTTCATGTGTATGGTATACACATCATTAGTGCAGGTCCCTTGTCCAGAATCACACGCTACCTAGAAGTTTTTTTTCTCCTTTTTACAACCTTATTCTCCCTATCCGATCTCTTTTTGGTGTGTCCATCGAGCTGTCAAACTGAGACTTCAGGCCAGCTGAGCTTAATGGGCCCCACCACCACACTCCATTATTCACTTCAGTATCTGTAAATGCATTGCGAGAGTTGGCAATCTCGGAGGGCCGGCTGTGAGGTTTTGGAGACGATGGTGGGCAGGTCAGTGCCTTTGTATTTTCCTGAGAATTTTTTCCGTGTTTTGTTTTTTGACGTTTTTCCATTGATTTTGATGTTAAAAGGGGTGTTGTAAACCACCAGTTCTCAATTGGGAAAGGCCTTCGCGCTTATGGCATTGTATTCGTTGAAATGTTGTATTTCGACTCCGCCGTACCGCTGATGTTGCTGCATGGCATACGCTATATGCGTTGTGTGCATTTTGCTGTATACGCTGTTATGTCCAGTTTTATCTGCTTATGTTTTGCATGTACGCTGTTTCTGCATGCTATAAATAGCTGGTGTTATTAGTGTTCATTGTTAATTATCAGATGAAGTGAAATATACTGTGTAAAGGAAAACAGTTGTCCTCGTGCCGTGTGGTCGTACGATCCTGACAATTTAGAGAATCTTAGAGGGTTCATAACATTTGGCGACCACGCCAGGATAGGAGCGAGCATGGCAGAGGAACTATGGAACAATTTGGAAGCCAGCTTTATCGACAATGGAGAGCGGTTAGGATTAGAAGGCGAGTTGTTGAAGGTACATGTGGAGCAGAGGCTCCTACAGTACGCGGAGCGTGAGGAGCGCAGTGCCAGACGGCGAGAGGAGGCGCTCCGCACCGAGTTTGCCAAAACACTAAAGGAGATTAACGAGAGCATCGCCAATGCGCAGGAGGGTGAGGGTAAAGCCACGATGGGAGGTACAGAGGAATCTCCCAGTCACAGCGGTGGGCGTCAACCGGTGATGAAAATCCCCTCATATGATGGAACGCAGCCATTGGAGCGTTATCTTGACCTGTTCGAGGACATCTGTTCCAAGAACGAGTTCGAAGAAAGCGAATGGCTGCTGCGACTGCGCATTGCGCTAGCGGGTAGCAAAGCGGAGAGGATATGTATTGGATGCAATAATTACGAGGAAGCAAAACGAGAGTTGCTTGCCTCGCTCGGAAAGACTCCGGATAAAGCGTGGAAGACATTGCTGACAGGCAAGCAGCGGTCAGATGAGTCGTTTCATCAATACGTTGTCCGTGTTTGCCGAGAGGTAGAGGTGTGGGCCACACTCGCTATGACAGAAGATGGCGAGGTGGACACCAAGTATAGCGCCGATATAGGAAAAATGTCCCCGGTGCTGCAAGCAATGGCAAAGCAGGTAATCTTGGAGCAATGCGGACCTGAGATGAAGACGTACCTGGTCGAACGGCAGTGCTACGGGATGTCACTGCGCCAGGTACAGGAGCACGGCGCGTCTTACCAGGTCGCGCACGGACGACAGGGTGATACTGCCAGGAAGCCAGTAGAACGATCCGTGCCAAGGCCCACGGCGTCGGCACAGTGCATGGCGATATCGGTCGCAGATGCAGAGAAGCAGCTAAAGTCGCTGCCAAAGGAAGGGAGAAAGGGTTTTCTGCAGCGAGAGAGACTCTGCTGGAACTGCCTTAAGTATGGCCATATGGCCAGAGAATGTCGGTCAGGCTCGAGATGCACGAAATGCCAGAGGAAACACCACCTGCTACTACATGATGTGTTGGATAGAGCAGGTTACAGCCGGGAGAGACCGACTGAGATAGTTACGGAGAAGAATGTTGGGTCGTGCTGTCTACACTCGCCAAGTGTGCGGCTGATGACCGGAGTGGCACGAGTTGAGGGAAGAACTCGAAACGCGAAGGTTCGAGTGTTCCTGGACTCGGGTGCTGAGGCGTCATTCGTGACTGCAGCGTTGGTGTCAGCAATCGATGCAGAACACGTTGGGGTTGAAAATGTAGAGGTGAAGCCGTTCGGCGCGGAACCAACCCAACAGCGCATGGATAAGTACGCCATCACGATCCAGGGTAGCTCCGCTAGCATTCGGGTACGCGCGTTCGTGAAACCAACGCTTGAGCTGGACCTGAAGTGCGCAAGTCCGCAGACCATTGCGCAGTGGCACAGTTGGGGAGTAGAGCTGAGTGACAAGCCTCAACAAGGGACATCAGACGAAATACATATGCTGATTGGTGCAGACTATATCAACGCGGTACTGCACAGCAAGAAGGAAGTTAATGGTGAGACGGTGTGGAACACAGAGATAGGTAATGTATTATCTGGTCCAGCGTCTGCACCAAGTCGAAACAGTCAGCCGGTGACCGTGTCATGTGTCACAGCCCACATCGACAAACTATGGCAGTTGGATGAACCTCCAGAACAACATCAGCACCTGCCATCGTTCCCGCTATGTCGCCAGGGCAGCGGGTACCAAGTGGGTCTCTTGTGGCGAAATGAGCGTCGGCCAACGGATAACTTTGCTCAAGCTAGAGTCATCGCAACGCGGCTTCTTGAAAAGCTGAAGAGGAATGGGAAGCGTGTGCTCTATGATGATGTGCTGATCAGGGAGTACCGCGAGCTTGGAGCAATTGAGCTGGAGCCATGTGAGAGCGATGCCGGGTACTATGTACCGCATCATGGTGTGTTCCGCGAGCACGCTGTAACCACGAAGTTAAGAGTGGTGTTCAATGCCTCGGCGACGGCGCCAGATGGCAAGTCGTTGAACGACATGGTTGACCCTGGACCGTCGCTATTGCCGAGTCTCGCAGGTATGCTATTACGGTTCCGTGAATATAAGAGCGCGCTGCAAGCGGACATCCGCAAGGCTTTCTTCATGGTCGCGGTTAATCCCGAAGACCGTCCGTACCTGCGTTTCTTGTGGCCCGGTCGAAGCGACAGCGATGAACTGTTAACCTGGAGGCTAACGAAACTGCCATTTGGCGTAAACTGCTCGCCATACATGCTTACTGCGGTGATTCAGCATCACTTGAAGGAGCTACGGGCGTTGTCTGCACCCAAAGAGCGAGATCGTATTGATCTCTTGCTCACGAGTTTCTACGTTGACGATTTGGTCTCTAGTGTCTCAAATGCCTCGGAAGCTAAGGAGATGCAAGAGTTCAGCGTGCGTGTGCTTACGGATGCTGGCATGGAGTTACGCAAGTGGCGAGGCAACGAAATCCCGTGCGATCCAGAGGCCGGAGATAAAGTTCTCGGTCTGAAATGGAAAACCAGTGATGACTTGCTCAGCATAGTAGCGCTAGGCGAGTCCGATAGGCCGTCTGTTTGGACCCGGCGATCCCTCCTCAAGTGTGTTGCGTCAGTGTTTGATCCGCTAGGTCTAGCAGCACCGGCAGTTGTGCCCGGAAAGATACTGCTACAGCAAGCCTGGAAAGTCGGAGGCGACTGGGATGATAAGTTGCCTGATGGCATCGCAGCCGCATGCGCGCAATGGTGGGGAGAGTTGGCCGAAGTGGTGAGCATTGACATACCACGTTGGATTTGCTGCAATCTTGACACGCCGATTGCGCTTCATGCCTTCGCCGATGCCAGTGAGAAAGCGTTTGGATGTTGTTTGTATGCAGTCGTCAATGGACAGTCGCACTTGGTATTTGCCAAGGCCAAAGTGGTACCCGTGTCTCCACCCACGTTAGCCCGCCTTGAGTTACAAGCAGTATGTCTAGCGGCTCGCTACGCTGAGTTTGTGGTGAAGGAGCTGCGTGTGACCGTCACGCAAGTCTATGGCTGGACTGACAGTCTCACTACCGTTCATTGGATCAGTAATCCATCGTACAAATGGAAAACATTTGTGGCTAACCGCGTCAGTCAAGTCCAAGAGATATCGAAGAAGGTCGGCATTGTGTGGAACCATTGCCCAGGCCTTCACAACCCAGCAGATTTACCGTCGCGTGGGAGTAGTGCACAGCAGATCCGTAGTCCGTTCTGGAGGGGCGGACCAACCTGGATCACGGAGCCCAATGACTGGCCCACCGCATCCTCAACCGCAGCTACAGATGAGTCCAGTGTAGAAGTACGAGTGTCAGCCACCACCTGTAGTCGAGAATCTGATAAGGAATGGTGGCTCCGATTCAGTAAATGGTCGAGGGCACAGGGCATGGTGACTCGGATGTTGCAGTGGAAGCACACTGAGCCTCGTGCTGAACTCTATTTTGCAGCAGACAACGTATTGTACCGCATCGTTCAAGCCGCATGTTTCGCTGAGGATCTTGAGCTGATCAAGCAAGGTCAACCAGTGAAGCCCGGGTCGAAGGTGTATCAGCTTGCACCGTTTCTGGATGAGCATGGAGTGCTCAGAGCCGGGGGACGACTTCAGCACAGCGAGTTGGCGTATGGAGCCAAGCACCCAGTCCTGTTAGGCAAACATCATCTGACCGAGTTGCTGTTGGAGAAAATGCATGTTGAAAGGATGCACCAAGGTGTAGAAGGAGTCTTGTCGTTCATCCGTCAGAAATTCTGGATTATCGGTGGTCGACGGGCGCTACGCAACATTACTCAGCGATGTGTTACATGCCGCCGCTACAAGGCTAAGGCTGCCTCAGAAGTCTGCCCGCCGTTGCCGGAAGACCGAGTTGTTCACGAGGGGCCTTTCGCAACTACCGGCATCGACTATGCTGGTCCGTTGTACGTGCGCCGTGGTGAGTCATCTCCGAAGGTATGGATAGCATTGTTTGTGTGTGCCACCACCAGAGCAGTTCACTTGGAGGTGGTCGATAGTTTAAGTACCGAGTCATTCTTGATGGCATTTCGGAAGTTTGTTGCGAGACGTAGTTTGCCGTCTCGGATCAGGTCTGACAACGCTACAACGTTCAAGGCGGCATCTGACAAACTGGGTGTGCCATGGATGTTCAATCCTCCAGCTGCACCATGGCATGGAGGCTTCTATGAGCGAATGGTTGGTACAGTGAAGAGTGCCTTGAAAAAGGTAATGGGAACAGCGTTTCTGAAGGTCCAGGAGCTTGAGACCCTCTTGTATGAGGTTGAAGCAGTGGTGAATAGCCGTCCGCTAACTTATGTGTCTGATAGCCTGGATGAGCCACCAGTAACCCCTGCAATGATGATGGGTGACATCTGGATGTCGTCAGAGAAGCCAGCAGGTACCCTGGACGCTGCGCAGATGTCATCGAGATTGCGTTACCTCAGTCGGACACTGGAGCATGTCAAGAATCGTTGGGAGGTGGAGTACCTAAGTCAGCTGAACAAACACCAACAGACCATGTCGCGCCCTTTAGCTGTGGGTGATGTTGTCTTTGTTCTCGATGATACCAAGCGCAAACAGTTCTGGCGTTTGGGACGGATCATCGAGTTATTCCCTGGTCGAGATGGTAAGCGTCGTGTTGCCAAGGTTAAGTTGAGTACCAGTACCCTGTTGAGGCCGATCCAAAGGTTAGTGCCGTTAGAAGTATCGTCACAGGACGTGGCTCCTGGGCTTGCAGATACCGCTCAACCTGCTATCGTCCCTCAGCAGCCAGCGTATGAACCGTCAGCACCGTTACCACCACCACGGCAGCAGGAGATAACGCGTTCTGGGCGCGTAGTCAGAGCCCCGGATCGTTTTTGACTTGTGTGCATTGTTGTACGGCGGTGAGAAGCCCTTTGGTGGGGAGAATGTTGTAAACCACCAGTTCTCAATTGGGAAAGGCCTTCGCGCTTATGGCATTGTATTCGTTGAAATGTTGTATTTCGACTCCGCCGTACCGCTGATGTTGCTGCATGGCATACGCTATATGCGTTGTGTGCATTTTGCTGTATACGCTGTTATGTCCAGTTTTATCTGCTTATGTTTTGCATGTACGCTGTTTCTGCATGCTATAAATAGCTGGTGTTATTAGTGTTCATTGTTAATTATCAGATGAAGTGAAATATACTGTGTAAAGGAAAACAGTTGTCCTCGTGCCGTGTGGTCGTACGATCCTGACAATTTAGAGAATCTTAGAGGGTTCATAACAAGGGGATTAGGGACTCTTGGCTCTTTCCTCTACCGAATGGTACCGTTTTCACATACAATTGTTTTCATATTTTTGGTGTTGTGTTCTAGTCATTCGCCATGCCACTGTCAATGGTATTCTGTTTGCCCGTAAAAGATGCCTTGTTTTAGCATGCAAATCTGGAGATACGTGGATTTTGTAGGAACAAAGTCAGGTTTTTACCCCATTTATATCATCATAGACGAAAAATGAAGGTCGTCATCGTGGCCAGGAGCCGAACGGCTGCAAAACGTGGCAAAGAAAATTCCGGTGACATTTCCACTTTTAAAACTCTACCGTGCCTCTGCTTATCATATTTCTGCTTTAATAGTACCCTGCTTCTTTTTATGGTAAAAGGAGAAGGACAAAATGTTACGAACTATGACCAACCGTCAACAAAGTGTCCACCAACGTAACCAGATCTTATACAGTCAGCGAATGTGACAAAATGGCACAAAACTGAGTTCCGAGTTCCACTAGCCTGCTTCCTTTTAGTTGCTTTTTTGCTGCTACTAGTAATTTGCATATTTTAACCTGATTTTTGCTGTGCTCTTGTGTCAGCTAGTAAGGTTATGCTCGGTGAAATGAAGCCTAACGTGCACACCGTCGTATCGTGTGTTGTATAAAAGCCTGTTTCATATAGAAGCCTGTCTTGAACACAAACCTGATTTTCAAGATACACTGTCGGCACATAAGCGACAGAGACAGACAGACAGACAGACAGACAGACAGACAGACAGACAGACAGACAGACAGACAGACAGACAGACAGACAGACAGACAGACAGACATGCAGACATGCAGACAGACAGACAGACAGACAGACAGACAGACAGACAGACAGACAGACAGACAGATATGCAGACAGATATACCAACAAGCAGACAGACACACACAGACATGCAGACAGACTGCACAGATATACCAACAAACAGACAGACACACACAGACACAGATACATGCACACACACACACACACACACACACACACACACACACACACACTTGTACTTGTTGCCCACTGCCAAAACTGGTCACGTGAGTCCCCCGGGAGAGGGGAGAGAGACTCAAAAGGAATCTTAGTAAGATGACTCAATTGGTTATTGAACCGCCCAACGGCCGACACCCCCTGAAATCCCCAAAACTCTGGGTGGACTTGAAAATGATCCCACTTATGGGCTCGCCACACCTCAGTAAGTGGGTGAGGACAAGGTGCAGAAAAAGGATTGACGGCATCAGGTATCCGTCCCGGGATCCAACTGCAGTTACCCCTGCCCCCAGTGAAGGTAATATTTGCTACTAGTGTGAGTGGCTAAATCAGAGTGGATCTGATAAAAGCTTCACTAGCACCATTGATTACACAAGAGTTAATCTAGCCAGAAGCAGTCCATGGTTAACAGGTATGTATACTTCAAATAGAAATTATATGAACCCTGGAACCAACAAAGGTGGCAGGTACAACATTACACCTTCAAGCAGCCGAGCCTGTTGGCAACAGACCCAACACAATCAGGCATAAGTGTACCTACCAGCCGAACTAGCTGGCACACACACACACACACACACACACACGCACACATGTACACAGTCATACACACACACACACACACACACACACACACGCAGGCGAACGGACAGGCATAGTAACAGCTGCGCAAGGCCAGCACTACCTGCACATAGCGGCAGCAACCTTGTGCCAGCCGTCTCTCTAGATTCCCTAGTAAAGTTACTGGAGGCATCGAGAGAGAAATGCCGTGTTGATGCCCACACCCTGGTCTGGTTGAGCAAGTCAGCGATATATCGAACATACGCTCCCACCAATGGTAATACATTCATGAATGACGCGGACAGCAGCGAAGCGTTGCATGCGGAACTTGCCTCCGCCCAGGTCATAGTGGCATTGCGTGGTCCGCCTGACCGTTTAGCCAGGTAGACAGTGATTGGTCGTCTCCTGTCTGTCCAGTGTAGCACATTCCTGGACAACCAGTCAACTAAACAAAGAGTCAGAGAAACACACGCCACCCAGTACACTGGGATGAAGTGACCAATCGGATCCTGGCACAGTCACATACTTTGAAGTACATAATACACATGCGGGCACCAGTTCCCCCAGAGTATAAGTCGCACTGGAGTATAAGCCGTACCACCTCCTCCCCCCGGCGCGCGCGCGCGCGCGCGCGTGTGTGTGTGTGTGTGTGTCCCATATGGTGCAGTGGTATGTGCAGCGATTTCCAATCGAGAGGTTGCGGGTTCGATTCCCGACGATTATGGTCACACACGTCTTTCTTCTCTTTCTCAGACTTCTCCTGACTTTTCTTTCATTCTCCTGGGTGGTTACCAACAGCCAGTGCATGCTGGAGTATGTGGTGTTGGTGTGATGTGTGTGCGGAAAAAAATGAAAAAAGACCAAAAAGTAGGGATTCACTGGCCAGAAAAAGCCACTTCATAGCTGTGTGGTGTAGACCAGACTGAATAGTGGCGGTCAATTCTTCAGCCTTGCAAGTTGTTGAATGGTGCAATCCCAGCACAAGCTGCTATGGCTTCTGCTGTAGCATCGCTATCATCGCCTTTAGCGATGGGCGTCCAATGGTCCAATGGTGTGTGTGTGTGTGTGTTAATGCTTGTTGAAGAGAATTGCCAGTTCCCAGTAATCTTCCTTTGTGCTAAGTTGTCCTAAGCCATGTAAACACGGAGTAAAACTCACAATGACAAATTAATGGTGATTTTCCGTCACCTCGGCTACCCACGCCAACCAACCCTGGACAAGCTATGTTGCTAGAATCCCCTGGCGGAGCAGTTCCAGAGAATAAACTCCTGTAACATGTGCTGGTGTCTGCGTAGCTAACGGCGAAGTCCCTCAAGCAGCTGCCACCTCGGGGGATAGCCATGGTATTGGCCTTGCATTCCATATTGAACCGAAGTTTGTTCGCAGCAGCAATCTCTGTCGGCTTATCGGACTCTATCAGCGTAACAATGTAGCTGCCGTTTGGGCATTTGTGCCAGTGCGCACAATGCACTGCTGTAAACACAAAGACAATGCGTGACCATACACGAGCGTGCATGCATTCGCACATGCACGTGCACACACACACACACACACACACACACACACACACACACACACACACATATACATACACACAGACACTTGTACGTGTTTGTTCTTGCTCACTGCCATAATTGGTCCCGTGGGTCTCCCCTTGGGAGAGGGGAGAGAGACTCAAAAGGAATCTTGGAAAGATGACTCAACTGGCTATTGAATCGCCCAATGGCCAATACCATCTGAAATCCCCAAACTGTGGGTGGACTTGGAAATGATCCCACTTATGGGCTCACCACATCTCAGTAAGTGGGCGAGGACAAGGTGCAGAAAAAGGATTGTGTGTGTGTGTGTGTGTGTGTGTGTGTGTGTGTGTGTGTATGTGTGTGTGTGTGTGCTTGCAGCTTCAGACCTGCGTGCAACCGGTATCCCGGAGGCGCAATGGTACCACCTTGCTCAGGACCGGAGGGACTGGCACGAACGTAGCCGTCGGAAGCCACCAAGCCAGCCCCAACCAAGAGTGTTCGTCTGTGTCTGCGGCCGCGACTTTCGCCGTCCGAATGATTTATCCCGACACAAGAACTACTGCCTCGCCTAATAGCTATCATCGCCTTCGGCGATGGGCTTTCCAAAGGTGTGTGTGTGTGTGTGTGTGTGTGTGTGTGTGTTTGTGTGTGTGTGTGTGTGTGTGTGTGTGTGTGTGTGTGTGTGTGTAGCATTATAGTAATAATGCAGATTAATGGGTGCACGCGGCTGCTTCGTGCTACCACTCAAACTATGCTGCTATGAACGTGCGCTGTACGTGCTCACATGGTACTCTATGCATCGTGGCATTCTATGTGTCATACAACGTGACACTCAACGCGACATTCATTCATGCGCGACGCTCAACGTAGGCGGCATGCGTCGTAGGCACTCAACGTGTCAAACTAAAGTTTGGCATTCATGCGTGTCGCTCGCCTCCGATGTGGAAGGCCTGTGTGTTTTTATGGGTCAGGAAGGCAGTGGATAACAAGTTCCAAAAGTAAATTGCTTTGTTCAATGAGGTAAGCCATGGACGGCATGTGGTGAAGCTAAAACTAATGCCAGATTTGATCTCACTGACCATTTATATATGCCAGAGCAGCGAGAAGCAGGAAGATACGTTGGAAGATAGGCGATTGGTCCTAAATTGCAAGAATTCACATACACGCACACATACATGCACATCAAAACGTAAACACATTGCATGGTCACGCACATACGCTGCACCCTCCTTCCCTTTTCTACTGCCCATTTCAAAATGAACGCGCCACCCTTCAGAGTGCGAGCGACGCGTTTTTATAACCATGAAAGAGCATTGTATGAGTCATTGCATCCTATAATCATCACTCAGTACTTCTGTAAACCATACCTATGGCGAGTTCCAGAGGCCGGCGAATAAATACAATATCAAGGAATGGAAGTCGGTCGGTTGCTTACCGGCATCTATGGAAGTAGCGGCCAAAATGGCGGTAAAAAACGCAATGGCGGTAAAAAAACGCAACTATTTGGGTCCGGTGATCCCCACCCCCACCCTTTACTCTTCTTCTGACTACAGGTATAACCCTGGTGTGTATTTACCACCATAATTATAAATCAACTACACACAGTAAAACCTATCAAGGCGACCACTCGGATAAGGCGACCACCTGTCCTGGGAGACCACTGCAACCAGGACCAAGAGATGCTATTTCCAGTCAAATGACCCTGGATAAGAAGATCACCTGGAAACAGAGATCACGTTTTGAAGGTCCCTTTAGCGGTCGACAGCTTCTGCTGCACTGAAAACTTGTGACTGATTCATAGCCATGCAGCAAGGCGATTGGCACCATGCGGCCACACCGCGTGGGCTTCATGGAGAACACATTACGAAGGGCAGACGTTTGCCTTACCATTGTGGAGTCTCCGCCGGGATTCCCAGTGACACCAGCAAGACCGAAACGTTGGTGCCGCCGCAACTACCAGCCTGTCGTTTTGCCCTCCTGGTTGGCTTCCACGGACCAGAAGACATGTCGATCCAATCTGTCCACTTGAGACAAAACGTTTTTAAAACCTATATTGGTAATACTATTTCTCTGAACTTGAACTCTGAGGCTGAAGTATGGCCAATAAGTGGATGACGGTTCCCAGAGACCGGCCACTACTAGTACTACTTTGTACACTAAACCATGGTAAACGTGCGGCTGCCGTTCTGAGGTTCAGACTCGCGTTCCCGTACAAGCTGAGCATATATAGTCCATCGGCCAAGTCTCAAAATCGAAAGTGGTGATGCACTGAGCTTCCAACTAAACGCGACCATACCCAGCACGTAGAGAATATATCAGAGAACACTATTCCGTTTGTTGGACGTGCCGAATTCAGTCCAGGGCGTCGATACGAAGCGTTCTTCGTCGCCGAGTTTTTTACTGTGCGCTCCATTTGAGAGTGCGCAGAGTTCTGATCGAGAGTTTTTTGAGCAGATTTTCAAATTTTTGAGGCTGTCAGCTGACAGCTGTCAACCCTAAATGGCACTTAGTATGTGACAGGCAATAGGTTTTGGTGCCTCCGTATGCCTTCTAATAAGTTCTATCTTCCTTCGTTTCACTTCGCTGCTTCGCCCACCACCTCAGGAGATGACAGCGTACCTGCACTAGTCAGCTCTCGCTAACCCTGTCTCTCTTTCTCCGTCTTAGCGCTCGTCATTCGTGTCCTTCTGCTGGGGCGAGCTTGATACTGTTGTGTCGTAGTTTTTAGGCAATAGTGGCTGTTGTTCGCGTGACGATCAGGATTTATGGAGAAAGACGACGGCTCGCCAAGTTCCCATGCAGCCACAGACGGCGTAGCAATTCTTACCGCCAACCCTTCGAGCAACGGAACCGACCTGAGTTGGAAATCGTGTCTGTGTAATTGTGCCACGATACGGATGAAACACACAGGCTCACATGTGACGAGATGAAGATAATCTCAACAGGCTGACGGAAATCCAACAGGCTCACGGGAACGCTGCAGTTATGGTCGGAGACGCGGAGTTATTTAGTCACTGGTAAATGTTGCATCGAGTGCTGTGTGCTCTAACACAATTGTAAAAATTATGAAAAAGCGAAAATAATGCAATGGTGGGGCTGAATGGTGTTCTGTGGAGGAGACGTCGCTGTCTCAATATTCAACGCCGGACCCTGTATTTCAAGTCTGTGGTCATGCTCGATCATAAGTTCCTGTATGGCTCCAGTGCCTTCTCAGCATTGTTGGCGGGATCGTCTCCAAGTACTGCGGCTCTGGTGGCTTGAGGGATGTACGGGTGCTCGCCGTGCACCCCTGCCGGCAATCTGCTAGTGATGCTTGGTACCTACTGTGTCCGGGAGATTTTCATCCAGAAGCTGATCTTCCTAGGCTGGAGCTGCTGCTACTCCTGTGCTAGCCCTCAACCACTGGCGCTCCTACTCGGCTCCAGTGTGGGCCATTAACCACCCTGCCCGATTTCGCACCGTTGCTATTCCACGCCGTCAGCATTTAACTCTGAGGTCAGACCTTGATCCCTCCCACCATATGCTATCTGTCTGTCTGCCTCTCTCTCACACACAGATGTGCGCACATACACACAAACACACACACACACATGCACATACAGTGACACAAACATACACATAGCCAACTTCTCTGTGTTTGGTGATCATCATCTGTTTTCTGATGTGCAAGCTCACCTCTGATGCCGATTACTTCCTTGCTTAGACCTGGTCTGCTATTAGACCAGTCTGCTCTCCCTTCACTCGCTTGTAAATCCTACTTGGAGCAGTAAGGTTGTGTCACTGCTCCTACTGATGTCATTGTTGTGAAAGCAATATCATCGCCATTGGTGGTAATTTTCCACCGTGCATGAATCATTAACAATCATCATCTATGTGCCACGGCCTAACCATCCTCGTAACTCCCCTCATCGTGACTAGTGCTGTACCGTTGAAACCTACTTTGCTTCAGTGTATATTCGCTCCGGGCAAAGCTCTTGTTTTGTTGCATAGTGATCTGACGCAGTGTGCTATAGCCTGTCGGGTAATATGGATAAGATTAGTACAGTCGGCATCGCCTATCGAGTGACCAGGTACATGTATAAGGATACTAGTACATGTATCCTGGCTTAACGATATCGGAACACAAATAGCACTATGTGTGCAATATTCCTTTCTAAGCTCACGCTGTGCGGTGCAGATAGGTCATGTGTCGTTGCCAACTTGCCGCATGTGCATGTGCAGCAGGAAGGCACCACATGTCGACTACTACTTATACTGTACAGCATTGTGTGCTTGCATGCATCTACGGCCTTGTGGATGCAATTGAGTCTCACATACATGTACATGAAATATTGCGTGTAGTGCGGCATCAGGTGTTAACATACAGTGGCTAAATATTTTTCTCGCAATAATGACCGTATTCACCACAAGTGTGTTTATGTCCAGAGCCAACTCAAGTCCTGTATTATTTATGACCATGACAACAAGACTTCCGGCCAGAAATTCTTCTATGACAGGCATGAACACTTGCCTTACAATTGTTCGTGATTGTACGAAGTACATATTCGCTGTTGCATCAATTTTGCACCATTTACATTGTACATTGTAGTGCCACTAGTGGTATCACCTGCATGCGTATTGAGCCAAACAAGGTTACCTCTGTATAATTATGCTTATCGTGGCTATCAAGAGCTTCCATGCAAATTCCCAGCTGACGAATGGTGTCCAGCTTGTGTTCAGCTCAGCTGGCACTCACAACTCATAATAATTGCGTTCTAGACGCCAGATGAGATGTTTCAGCTACAATGTAGACACAACGTCCGTGTTCAAGAAGGCCGTCACTTCATCTTCTGTCCATCCTCAATAGCACGTTCAAGCAAATACGTCTGAAACACAGTAGCGACAATCCGACAGCGGCGACACGCCGTCTTCTCCGAATGAGCTTCTACCGTTCTAATTCAGATTCCCCCAAAAATGTCAAAATAAATAATAGATTTCCACCAAGCTCGCTAGAATCTTGCGAACCGTCAACATGCAAGCATTTCAAGTGTTCGAGCGTGCGTAGATTCTGCTCAGCGGCTCAAGAACATTCGCCAAGCGAAAAAAAGTCGATGAGAAAGATGTAATGGTGGACGAAATTACGAAAATCGGAAGAAGGTATTCGACCCAGTTCGACTATCCTGGACTGGATTGGCAACGTCCAACAATCGGATTCGTATTCTATGGGGTCTCATGAGCTAGTGTGCCAAAGGGCGTTTAGTTGGAGCTTCAGTGCATCACCTTCGCCGAAAGAGGCCCTTTCTGAGATTTGGCCGATGGACTAATAGGGACGATCAGCTACAGGGCCGGATCCAGAAGGGGCTCCAGGGGTCCCGCGGGACCCCCAAGGAGGTTATGACCATAATAAGTAGGGGTGAAACGAACGAACGAAAATTTGAAAACGAACGAACGAACTCGCAAGATTGATAAACGAACACAGCAAGCAAGCATAAAGAGTGCTTGTGACTAGATCACGAAGGAGCCGCGGAGGTTGGGAGATCGCGAGCTTGCACGCTGATCGACTGCGTTTGCCTTGATGATCACTTGAAGCAAGTTGAAGGAGTTGAGTGTCGCGTCGGGACACAGTTTCTTGAAATATTTCTGTGTGTCCGTTTGAGTTAGATTTGTACTCGTAGTGAAAGGATTCGAGTCGCTTGTGACATCTGTTCCTGAAAGCAAACGTGCACTCGTTGCAATCATGTCAAAACATTCGAGCCTTTCATCGCGATCCGGAGTTGGAGCGGAATTTGATAAAGTGGTCGGGAAAGACGAAGTCCTTTTCTCAATTTCAAAAAGGTTCTGTCACACAGCAGAGCGACGACGAGAAATCTTCGTACCCACGTCAAGAAGTACCGTTCTCCTGCTCTGACAACCTGAGCTAGCGATGAGAAGAAAACTCTCGTCCGGACGATGGTGATGGACTTTGCAGCTAGCTGCAAAACCCTGTGATTCAACTCAGCCTGAACCACAGAGCGCGTCGTCTTTTCTATCTATCTATTATTCAATCCACCCTTGAGTATGCTAGCTCTGCCTACATTAACTGTCTATCTCACCGTTCATACAACCAGCTGATCACAGCCAGCCGTACTAGTCTTAAAAGAATATTTGCCCTTGACCGCAGAACTCCCACTGAGACCCTGTACGCTTACACCAAGATCTACACACTAGAGCAACGCTTAAATTTCAAGCAATACGTCTTTGTCTTTCGCTGTCTGCATGGTTTATCTAGCCCACTTCTCAGCCTCCTATTCACTCCCCGCTGCACTGGCCCACATTCTGCTGCCACAACTCGGGGCCAAGCTACAGCTGCTCTTGTCTTGCCTGCCTGCCACTCCCGGTATGGTTTCCATTCCATTGCGTATCTTGGTGCCGACAGGTGGAATGCGCTGCCTCCATCTTGTCGCCTGGCCGAGTCGCCTGCTTTGTTTCGCGCTCACACAAAGTCTCATTTAGGGTTCCCAGTAAAAAGGCAACATTGCCTGTTGGGAAATCCCTAACAAAATAAGAAAAAATAATAATAATAATAATAATAATAACTCAGGCGGACGCGATAAAAAATATTTCTGTTCTGGCAGTGTATCGTACGTACACCGTCAATACTGAACTGTGGCCAGCCAAGTACAGAGAACGCCTGTACTGACAGACTGTATGGTCTTCAAAAAAATTCACCCTTGAAATACATAATTATTATAATAATGGAGAATGTTCGTTCGTGTTCGTTCGTTAGTGTGAGAGTTCGTTCGTATTCAAAATTCGATGTTCGTTCAGAGTCCAGGCCAGTTTGGAAGCAATTTTATAAATTTTCTATAGCCTTTGCCGGACCCAGGACTAGAACACAATAACTTTTTTTAGAAAGCTGCCATAAGGGGCCGTCCAAGGTTACCAATAATATTTTCAAAACGAAATGTTTTCGTTTGTGGGTGGGTGGGTTTGATGGAGTTTCGTTTTAAAAATAATTATTGAATGCTGATGGAGAATGCCCAGTTACTTCTGGGTGTCGAAAATTGACATCAATATTTTATTG